GCAAATTGTCCTGCCGGCCCGGCACCAGGTAGCCCCAGCCGTGCTTCTCCGAGTAGTGGAGGGGGAATCCATCCCAGGCCAGGCGCATCAGCTTGGGGGTCACCCGCATCTGCAGGCTGATGAGGCTGGGACCCGGCACCCCCCCCGCCTCCTCCAGGGGCGGGGCCAGGTTGCGGTACCAGCTGGGGCGCAGCGGGGATGGGTCAGAGAGCGCAGGGCAAGACCTGGGGACACCCAGCATCCCCAACTCACCCCGGGTGGCCCGGCAGGTGCTGGAGTCTCTTGGGTTGCAGTGCGACCGTCTCCTTCAGACGCTCCAGGCAGACCTGGCTCGCGGGGACCTTCAGCTCCTCATCCTCACCAGGGGGACCGGGGTCTGGTGGGGAAATGAGGGCTGGCTGACAAAGAGCTCGCCACGCCACCCCACTGGGGATGGGGACCTCCAACCAGCCCCCTGCCACATGCTCCAGCATGGGGACACAGGCCAGCGATGCTTCACTCTGCTGGCATGAATGAGCCACGTCCCTTTGTCCAGGTGCCTATGCGAAGGCATCCCTTGAGCATCCCTCGTCCCCAGGGACCAGCCACTCACCTTCCTGCCACTCCTGCGCGCTCCCATCTGCCCCTGCCACCGCGGCTTTGCTGTTCCCATCCTGATCCTTCTTCTTCTTCTTCCCCGGATTCTTCTTCTGTTTAAACTCCTGTGTGTCCCACTCAAGATCCCAAAGCCAAGGGTCATCCTGGTACCTGCCGACCCACCTTTGTCATGCTGCAGCTTTGCTCCTGTCACCAGCACCCACCCACAGCGCCCAGAGATCACCCAGCATCTGGTCTCTGTCCCACAAGTGGCCAGACCTGTCCCCCCAGCCCGCGGGTACCTGTCCTCGTGCAGCAGCTGGCACGCATCGTTGGCCAGGTTCATCAGGGACTTCTTCATCTCCTTCTGCAGCTCCTCATAGATGCCCTGAGCATCGTCCAGATACCTCTTCCAGTTCCCGTTGACTGGCAGGTAGGACACCCCCATCTCCAGCATCCCTGCAAATGTCACGGGGTGGGGGCACCTAGAGCCCGAAGGAGCGAGGAATTAGATGTCTGCTGGAAGGGATTTGCCCTGGAAGCACCATCTATGACAGACAAGAATGTGCCTTCACCTAGAGCCTCCCAGCCCTGCACAACCCTCGATGCTCTTCCCCTAAACCCATAAGGATCCCCGTATCTTCTACCTGCCCTAGAATTGTGGGCTAACCCCAAAACTGTGTTTGATCTGTCTCATTAAGCCTGTTCACCCTCTCCAGCCACACTCTGCTGTTGTTTATTCCTCCTGCCTGCAGAAGGGGGGTCTGATGTCCCTCCTGAAATGGGGTTCAGAGCCCCCCAACCTCCCACCACCACCCCAAGGATGAGAGGAGCTACATCCCACCCCAGCAGGACCGCAACCCTCCCCACGGCCGACCCAGACCACAGCCCCTCGACAACGCTGGCCAGAGCTCGGGTCCTCTCACCTCCCCATAAAGAGCGGCAGCTGCTCCTGGAACACCTCGTGGGTGGCCAGGACATCACGGGCACAGTACGACATCAGGTCCTGGGGACAGAGGCAGATGAGAGCAGGCAAAGCAGCCACCCCGGAGGGCAAGGCACCCGGGGCTGCGGGAGGACGGGGGACAGTATGTCCCCTGCACACCCAGAACCCTCGCTAGAAAGGGCAGCAAAATGGAAATGACCCTAGCAGCTGCTCCCGCCCTGCTCCCGCCTCTGAGATGGGACGCTGGGATGGCCGCCCGCACCTGGAAGTTATTCCTGATGTCATCCATGGTCCCTTTCACGAAGAGCTCCCGCGCCTCCTTCTCCAGCGGCTCCCCCCCCACGTACAGCGCATGCACGTCAACCAGGTTGTTGATGCTGCTGACATGCACCCAGTCCCACGAGGTGATCTGCAAACGATGGGGCAGGGGGGTCAGATGGTGCGAGACAAGGACCGGTCGCAGCCAAGGTCAGGGGGGGTAAAGGATGGTGCTGCTCCATTTTAAACCAAGCCCAGGGCACCTGGAAGGTGCTGGGAGAGCAGCACCCAGTAGAACTTCTCCACCAGCTCCTACTCTGCCAGTACAGGGGCAGATGATCCCAGTACAGGAATAAACGCTCCCGTTACAGGATCAGTCCCCTGCCACCACCAGTGGCTCAGCTCCCTTACTCACAGCTGGCCCCTCCGTTTTGCTGCGTGCTCCTTGACCGTCTGCATCCCCTTCCTCTTGCCGTGCTTGGCAGCCATCCAGAGGCTGCGCTGGAAGCCCGTCAGCCCCGAGATGGCCATGTGCATGCTCATGGTGTCGAGGAAACGCACCCGGGAGCCCTGGGATACATCAGGGGAAAGAGGAGAGGCAGTTTGAGATGTTCTGGAAGAGAAATGTGCTGTCAAATGTCCTGCAGCTGCCAGCAAGCACCACCCTGTGTTGCACAGCTGCAAGTCCTCTGCACAGACTGCTTCTGTCAAGGCAAAGCTCTGCCTCCCGGCACCCCTCTTAGAGACAAGAGCATCCCCGCTGCAGGCTGTCAGCTGCTCAACGGCTCCTGCCACAGCCCCAGCTGCAACCCTGCAGCCTCCAGCAACCCTCTGGGGCACAAGAATATCTCCCTCTAAAGGAATCCACCCTCAACCTGCTCTGCAGCACAAGGGGAGCGCAGCCCTGGGGTATCTCTGCAGAACACCATCTGGGGAGGGGCTTTTTATAAGGGCATGTAGCAACAAGATTAGGGGGATTTAAATTGGAAGAGGGCAGATTTAGACTAGATATTAGGAAGAAATTTTTTCCTGTGAGGGGGGTGAGACACTGGCACAGGTTTCCCAGAGAAGCTGTGGATGCCCCATCCCTGGAGGGGGTCA